TAACAATAGTTTTGTTATTTTAAGTTTCGAAATCTACTATAAACTTCATTACATGACTTGTTGGAAAATAATTTTTTGGATTTAACAAGGAAAAATCAAATTTCAATAAACTCTGCCTCCGCAGAAATTGGCATCTTAATAATGTTAAATAATAATATATCAAAACGAATCGTTATACAAATAATTAATTGCTGTACGCTTAAAAAAAGTAGTTATACTTATGATATTTAATAAAACACAGACAATTTCTACACTTTATATATTTCGTTGGTTGTATACAAACCGAATAAGTCTCCAATTTCGAATTGATTTGAATTATAATCAATTGAGTTATTTTAAATTCACGTGTTACTTTGGCAAGACCGAAATTAAGTGAAAATAATCAAAGTTTAATGTTTATACATATTGTTTGTTTTACGAGTACGCAGCAATCCGTTATAACAATATAGAATTTGAGTGTTGTTGTATAATATTCTACGGAAAAACAAATAATACATTATAATCTTGAAATAATATACTTATATAGGAAAATTAATAATAAAATCAATTAGAATCTTAAAACCGTCGCCACCGTTAACCATGCGATACTTCGTTGATATCCTTCTTATTTCGTGGCTCGAGGCTTTTAACGTAATTAATTTTTTTTTTTTCCAAAGCCCGACATATTTTATATCACGGGTACCTAGGTGGCTTTGATATAGACGGGAAGTTAAGAAGGTATATCTTGGTATAGGTATGAAGGATATTATAGTTCAGTTTAAATACCGAATGCGACGATAAATCATGATAAACAAAATCGATTCGTTTTCGTGTTCGTTTAATACCATAATATATAAGTTGACATCCCCCCCTCTAACTGAGGGAACTAGAATAAGTGCCAATAAAATATTACTTAAAAATCTGAAGGCCCACCTATGATCAAAAATCCAGTTCCAAAACAGGCCTCGTAGAATCTAGTTTTATTTCTTTTTGAAAAACTTCTGGAAATCTAAGAAAATATATAGTCGGAAAAATCGATACGCCGCGTGACAGTTTCGAAAGTTTTTCGCGTAGAATAGGTGTTTAAAAAGTGCAGTGGGTCACAGATGACATGAAAAAAAACCACTCGCATACAGATTTATATAAATCCGCTCGGAATACCCGAAATAATATTGGCCGGAGCACTCGAGCGGCACCACTTTCGGCTTCCCGGGAGCCCGTCGTCGCGCACTGTACGCCCGTCGCGGTCCGCCATCATCAATAATATTTTTTGTGCTGGTGAAAAGGCGAAAAACTGGCCGGACCGCGGGAATAATGGAAAATCCCACGCGCTCCTTGCTGCCCAGTGCCGCCTACACACATACACACACACACACACACACACACACACACACACACACACAATAAAATAATAATACGGCAACGGCGGCCGGCGATTCTCCCGATTTTGGGATGCCCGTGCGTCATCCGATATATATATTTATAAATGGCCAAGTTTTATTTCGTGCGGACCGATGAGCCGTAAAAACGTATTATTACCTACCGTAAACCGAAGTTTTATCCAAAAAAAAAAAATAATAATAATAAAACACCCCTGAGCAAAAGAGCTCATCTACAGTTCTGAGGTCGCTCGAGTCAAATATTTTCCTTCGCATATTTTTTTTCTTTATTATTAAAAATATACGTGCATTGTACTTTAGATGTACATGTATTAATTAAATTATCCATCTTCTATAAGCTGTAAACTTGTGCATAAGCTATAATACAGGGCTATAGTATGATAGTAATACACACGATACCCATAGATCCTCCATTGCTGTCGGTTCAAACAGAAAACAAAAAGAAAACAGGTTGAAAGTAGAGAGTTAAATTTGCATAGTACACTGTGAGAACATAATAGAAAACAAAAAAATAATTAGGCACAACAAATTTTACATGTAAATAGAAACTGATTGTGCCTACATAGATTGTATTATAGTAGTACTTTTCGCAAGACAATAAAAATAACCGAATTTACTGTGATATCTAATACAATAATAAACACTATACTACAAAATTTTAATTTATTATACGTTATTATTATCATATTGTTAATTCGTTTTTATGTTACGTCTATTATTATTATATATTATATTATATGAAATAATACTTACAAAAAAATCGTGTAATTTTATTTTAACAACGTTAGAGATGCAGTTTGTTAAAACCCACAAAAAAACACGTCTTTGATACTAACGCATATAAGAATATACAAGAGTTTCATTCCTCTAGCTTATTTTTGAGAAGCCTGTAGGGGAGTTAAGTGTTTGAAAAACAACTTCCTCCCGTTAAAACATGGTAAAATGCAAATAATGAAATTAAATCAGACTTGTATTATTTCAATTCACCTATAAAATAACTCGCATTCTCTAGTTTGTGCTTATTTGGTTCAGAGGGCAGAAGAACTTTTCATCACACGGGGAGGGGAGTGTAGAAAAATATAGAGAGTGTTACTATGGGTATCTTCCTGAGACCCATTATTTCCGCTCCCCCCTCCCGACGAAACGCATGTAGGAAAAATGTTCAACCTCCGCCCCTCCCCAACTGTATGTGTTATTATTATTATTTTTTTTTTTTACTCTTCAGCCAATGTTGAAAATAGAAAATTTACTGAGCTCGAATACATGGTCATAAAATAATAATCAATTTCTACTGGTTTTTGTTATAATATAATGAAATAACACCGCTCCCTTCACTAGCCTTACTGTCAGAAAAAGGCAATAGATATAAAATTATCGGGGAAAAAAAAAAATATATATATATATATCGATACAATACAATACAATAGTTTCTATTTTCGGGAAAAATTCGACAAAAAAAAACTCCCTGGACAATGCGAAAAATGCTTCAGTCGCACATGAACACGCCTTGACTGCCCAGGTCCATATTTTTTCACAGGACAAAACGGCAAAAAGGATCACGCCTATAGAAATTTCAAACGAAAATTACACACGTGCAAATATTTTGTGGAAAGTCTTGAATAAACGCCACAAAATTCGACCGGAAAATATATGAGAACAATTCGTCTAAATGTAAAAGCCGGTTACCAATCTCGAGCTATCTCAATCCAATCTGATTTTTTTTTCTAAAGATAAAATAACTAAACAAAGGAAATATAAAATTTTTCGTTTATTTGTTTGTCCCCGAAAAATTCTATCATTCATAAATTAAATACGTTAATATTATAATAAGTCCCCTGAGTTCCCCATACATAAGCCTATTCCGGGCATGGTATGCCCTTATCAACATATTTTATGCACACGACGTTTCTATACTATAGTATTATATTTGAAAAAACGAAAACCGAGAAAACAAATCTTAAAAATAGGTACAAATACCGCCTATGGAAGGATAGGACATGAACCCCGTGTCTTCCCTTCAGGTTACGCTACTGACTGAAGCAGACACGATTAAGATATTTGTATTCATAATTCGAAATAAACACAATACTCTACTAACGGACGACCACCGCCGCTCTGATTTAGTTTTTTTTCTTTCTGTTAATCCTTTGTAGTATAATAATGACGTGTACCTACTCGCACACTTCGAGATTATACACAATATAATCATAATAATTTAATCACGACGGTAAAATAATATTTCAACCGTAGATAAAACATAAATGCGCGCATATCGACAAAAAAAAACCTGTACAAATTATTATCGTTTAAATTATTACTGCGGCGCAATGATGTCGCAAAAACAAATTTATACATAATAATTATATCTGATTATAGTTATTATTACGTTGGTCTCGTAGTATATCATGAATTTATTACAAATTATTATTCGTGGAATAAAAATAACGATCCGATTATTTCCGATTTAATTTTTTTTTTCAAACAAAATTTTATGACAAACGAGTGCAACGGTGTACTTATCGTATTAATAATTACATTGTAAAAGGTACCTGAACGAGAAAAAAAATAAATGTACATTATACTAAATTGTTTGTTCCTGAAGTTTTGCTGCAGTAAATATTATACGAGTTGCATTATTAAAACGCCGCTTGCCGTACCGCCACAAAAATTATCCTTCACTACTCTCCCCCGACCCAAATTTAAAAGTAGAATATCTCGTCAATGAATTGACGGAAATTTACACCAAAATTTATTTTAACTTATACTCCATCTATGTATAGAGTTTTAAATACAGGATGCCGTTTGAAAATTATATGTATGTAGTAGTTGTTTCAACCCCCAAATAAAGGTGACAAAAAAATAATAAAAATGTAAAACTGTATTTATTAAAAGTTCTATTAAACAAATTCTGAAAAATTTTAACACTTTCCAAGATAATAAATATACCAACTTAAACGGATCACTTTTAATAATAATTGCAATACGGTTGCACACTTTTTTTCTTTTTACCTAAGAAAACACAACCAAATCGCGCAATTTTTATCTTTTCAAATTGCATAAAACACACACAATTATACAAATACGAATTATAAATGCACAATATTTATTCCCAATCACAACTGAGATATTATAATAAGTTCTAACAATATTTTATATTGTTAATTTTAGTTTCGTATTTAATTTGTTTTATTTAAATATTTAAAATTATTTTACATTTATACATTTATTTTTTATAATATTTTATGTTTTATGCACAATGGTGTATGTTTTCTAAAACATATGAATAGTCTAAAAGGTGTAACCGTTTTGTGTTTTCTCAAATTAGAAAATGTAGAAAATGCGCAATTTGATTGTGTTTTTAATGGTTAAAAATGTAAAAGGTACGCATTCGTGTTAAGTCCGCTATTATTTTTCCCCTTCGTAAAATAACGATACACACTCAAGTACTAAATTATAATCAGTTAGACTGCTAGAGGTAATATTATCAAGGTGTAAAAATGTATTTAATTGATTTGATACGTTAGTTAAATGCGTACGAAATAATATTGTTTTATGAATAGTGTCCTGTGCAGGATAAAATTAGGTTAGGTTTTTTGACCGAGAGATGCTTCTATATAGTTTGTGCAAAAAATCTTCCCGGAGCGGGTGAAGTGAAGGCATCTGATTTTGTCGGGCGCCTCCCACGAAATTTCTCTTGATCACGTCTGCGAACGAAATTCCAGACACGCCTATGATGCTGATGATGATAAGTACGTCATATTGCAGTGAGTATATTACAGCCCAAAAATCAGCCTGGGCCACTATTTCGAGTAGCTGGGCCGAATCGTGTTTAAAAAAAAATTACAGTAGATACGTCATCGTCACGAATATGACCACGCCCTCACCAAAAGTACTACGGACTCTTTGAGAAAACAAAGAACAGAAATCCGATGAAACTATAAGAAAATATCGAATTAAAGAACATAGGCTTTAAGCCCAGCATTTGATGAAACGCAATGAGACAATGAAACGTCTATTTTTAAATCAAATTTAAGAGAAGGTAATACAACACTAAAACAGCTATTTAAAGTGTCGCGTTTAGGAAATTTCGACAACAATTTTTAAAAGCTCATCTATACAAAACCATACATATTCACTTTTAAATTAATTTAGAAAAATGGTCCCAAGTGATGTGTAAAAAATTAATAAAATAACAATTCGTTATTAAGACAAGAATTATACTTACAGCGAAAAAGCGTATCAAAAACACAAAATATGTTCAGCGGTTGTTAATATGGCATATACAATGGGAAGATAAAATATTCCGTTTCAAAAATGACATAGCTGTCTAATACCTAATATCGTGAAGAAATAATTTCTAAATACATTGCAGTGGTACGAGGTATTGTATTATAACTTACAAGCATTACGGGGCTATTCGTATAGCTGAACAGACTATAAGAACGAAAAAGGAAAAGAAAGAATTCATTAAGTAAAATAACATCCAGACTGCTTGCGGACGAATAACAGTATACGATATTTTTATATATACAACTGAATTCCCCAAAAAAGTTAAAGCCTTTTTTCTTGTTTTACAGCTAAACGCGCGGTAAAAAGTTTAAATTAAATAAAATATATATAAGTATACCGAATTTATTTATTTTTTCTTTATTATATTGAAGCCACAAAAACGTCGAGTATTCAACAATATACTTAAATCTTATTTTGACAACAATATACTCTACGATGTTATACATAGTTTTAACAGTGCAAAAATTGAATTATAAAATATTGAATACAAAAAAAAATAACAAAAATGTATATTTTAAGCAAATTCCACAGGTTCATCTTAAAATATTTTAATTAACAAAAAATTGTTAAGTTTATAATTATTCTATAGCTATTAGTACGTCTGGTTTATAAAATCATCGCCGCACTTAAAAATTTCGATTTACAAAACACCACCGCTTTCTAATAAATTTACGAAATTACGCGATTTGATTGCTTTTAATTAAATTTAAACTATTATACAATATGAATCTATAATTAGGTATTGTAAAACAATTAATGAATTAGTATTCAACTGTCTTAACGATGATAAGCAATCGGCACTTGTTGGGTGCGTTTAATAATTTCCAAAAATATTAAAGCACATGTTTTTATAATGGGATTTTTCAGAGATGCTCGTATTGTTACAAATTCGTTTCATGTATTTTTGAATGAAGATAAAATATCTTATTTTATATTTTTTGATAGTTTATTTTGATTAGTATTTAAGTAAATATATTTATTTCTTAGAGCATATTACAATTTTTGAGGTTTTGATTCCAAAAATCTATAATAACATAAATCTATATTTATCATTCAGTATACAAAATAAATAACATATTTATTTATTTAAACTGCACCTTTGCTAAGTTTCATAATATTATAGTAACTAATCAAACGAAAATAATACCATTTTATTTCGAAAATATGAAACAATTGTATAGAAAAAAAAAATAATGAAAATATAAATATAAATAATTTCAAGTACATTTTCCCTTTTTCCCCGGGTTTCCAAAATATTAGGAAAACTACAAAAAAAATGCCTTCCCCAATGCATACCAAATAAATTAAATTTTATATTGAAAGCTTCCCCTAAAGTTGAAGATTGGAATAAGATTTCTGGTAAAAAGTTATTTAACAACAGAAAAAAAACATACGACACCGTAAAACCAACACATTTCTTACTACGCTCAGAATCTAAACTATAAAATTATGTAAAAACTTATTCTAAACTTTGTCATATAGAAAAACTTATCCAACAAGAGTGTGGTTGGATTATTTTTTTTATTATTATATTTTGAATTGTGGCTGATAAGTCGTGTAAGAGGTGTGTGGTAGGGAATATTCCCCTATGGGTTAAGTCAAGCTCTCAATAACTTTTTTAATTCGGAGCGTAGGGAAGAATATATTGGTTTTAAAATTTTTTTTTTTTTTTTTTAATCTGTGAACAACTTTTCTATCAGAAATCTTGCTCTAATTTTTAAGTCTAGTATCTTTTCTGAAAGAAAATTTTATCTGCGAAATAGGTTAAACTAGAACATATTTTGATAATGAAAGTGGTTTTCATGACTGAAAAAACATGGGAAAAACGTAAAAAATTGTACAATTTACATATATGTATAAAAGAAACTTCGATCCGAATAGTTTTTCGCTAGCAATGGTTTATTATTGTGTACAGATATAAATTTAATTCACCGCCTATCCGAGCTTCCAATTTCTCACCTACAACAGTGGCCCACCCATCGTGCGATGTATAATATTATAAAAATAATTTTTATTTTTCTAATCCGAACACTGCCATAGTACCTACTGCAATAAGTGGTGTATATTTCATTTTGAAGATTTGATTAATAATATTATTGTATAATCGAGTAATTTGAAAATCAACAGACTAAATTGAATACATTTTTATTTTTGACTAATTTCTGTTTCATTCACTCGTAATTATAATATAAGTCATCATTTTGCTCAATAATATAATTATATTTCTCCAGTTCTCGTTAAAATTATATTTAAAAACGTACCTAAATACAAAAACGGTATATGAAAACGAAAATGAGCGAAAAACTAACCGAAAAATAAAATTAAAATAAACTTGTATAATTTAACAGCTATTGAACCGATGCGCTGACATATTTATGCAAATAACAGGTTTTTAGTGTGTACAAAACAATTTTCTCTCTTAATAATAATATTATCAGTTTTCGTTGTCTTTAGACATCCTATTTGAGATCAACAAAATGTTGACATATCAATGATATTCTGCTTTGAAATTAGTGGAATGCTACATAAAAAAAAAAAATCATAACAATAATAATAAACAAAAAAGACCGTGATTTTTACGATTTTCATTAAAAATTAACGCGTATAAAAAATTAGCATCTTTAATTTTTTATAACAAATTATAACTTGTGATGAACCTTAAGTTATAATTTACAAACATTTCTGTTCAACCAAAATAATTGTTTCATCTTAAAAACAAATAAAAACTAAAAAATGTCAAATAGTACCTAAATAACACAAAAATCGTCAAAATGTATTTTTAAAATACGTTTGGAAAAAGCATTACAAAAATAATCACTACACTCGGAATCTAAAATACATAAACTGTATATTTTACAACTTTCCGAGGAAACGTTAAGGCTTTCAGACGTATTATGTGTAAATAGAGCGACTATCGCCCTCAGAGGACTGCCGTCTAATCTGTATTCAAAATAATATCACTAAGGCCAAAAACGACGACGGCAGCGGTTGTTGTGCTGAACGTTTATGATACCACGAGGCTTTTGTGGATTTATATTTCGATTCAATGACTCAAATATATTATCATAATATAATATTATATAATATATAGAGAACAGATTAGTATTGTTGTTCGCGCGGTGCTTCTGTTGCTAGAAACGAACAGACCTGCTCGAAACGCTGAGTTCATCGACGACGTTGGCATCCCGTAAATAATAGTTATAGGTATACCTATAGGGCTACGAATTTAATAAAACCCCAAAAATACATTTAAAAAAATACTAATAATAATAAAGAAAATGCAGAATGGACTAAAAATTGATAACAATGACTTTATAATAGTGCAAATTTCCTTTTCAAAAATACATAAAACGAACCTGTTACAAGACGAGCCATTTTGTTATCTGGATTTTGACATTACTATTGTCCGATAATAAAATACGAGTACTTAATAGGTTTTTATAAAAGAATCTTGTTATAACGTGTAAAATCTGTTAAAATCTTATCGTATTAAAACCTTCATATAAAGTCGAAAATTGTCAACAAAATCAAAATAAAATATCTAATTCTCGATAAAAAAAAAAAAAACGGGTATACTTCGCACGATGGGTAGGTCACTGGTGAGACGTTGAGAGGTAGGATATATAGAGAAATTTAATGTATATCTGTACGCAACGATTAATCATCATTGCTAACGATAAATGATTCTGAGCGGAGTTCGGTTATACAAGTTTTTGAAAGACCAAAATATTTACTTTCGTCATAATTTGATATTACAAATCGTATAAAAAAATTGTTTTACCGCAAAATACGCATAAAATTATTCTCCTGTTAATTTTTCAAGCACTTTCCAAATTACAAAATAAAAATTACGTAAAAACTTCCAAAATTAAAATATCTATAAAAAAAAAACTCGGAAATGGCCAAAATGTTTTGAAAATTGTACGTCATCTAGAAAAGATAAATACAAGATTTTGTCCAAATTTCAAGTTTCTACAATATTTTTAACTGAATTACAAAAAAAAAAACGAAATTGGAAGTGTTCAATTTCGTATTCTCGTTTTTCCTACTTTTTGTCCCAATTATTATAAAAATCTTTTAGAAAAATAAAAAATATATCACCTACAATATTAAATAGATAAAATTTTCTTTCAGAAAAGGTGTCACATTAGAAAATCAGAAGAAGATTTCTGGTAGAAAAATTGTTCATGGTTAAAAAAAATAAACATCATTGTAAAACCAATACATTCCTCGCTTAGCTCAGAATCTAATATTACATCTAGCGAATTTTTACCCAAACAAGCATCGCGACAAGTGAACTTTGAAAAAAAATGCAAAGTGCATTGAAATCCCATTATTTATGGTCATTAGTGACCATTAATGACTCATTCCTGTAATATCTGTTTTGATACGAGTATGTGAACGTCATATTTATTTACAAACTAGTTTTTCGTTGATAATTATACACTAGAAAAACGCGCATTTTCTGATAACCTAATTTAACCTTACCGGATAAATTATATATTATACCGAGTTTTTGTTATTTAATCATTGAATTCATAATCGTGTGGTATACACTATATCGAAAAATATTGCGAAATACGAAGTAATTATTTGTGTAGTACGCGGTGGTTAATGTACATTAAAAATGTCGACATGTAGAAATATAACCAAAACTTCGTCGATTTATGCGATTTTTACTATTATTATAAATTCCCGTTTGAAAAGTTGGTAAATACTATTATAGTGACACAATTTCATCGCCAAGCCAATAAAAGAGTGAAAAAACAACAGCTACGTAACATTTTATAACTTCGTGTGCACGTTTTTCCAAAAAAATACTAGTAATAATAGTAAGAACGTAGTGTCGATTCAATCAGCACATCGACACATCTAAGATTTCGAGCCCATTACTAAGGAATCGGAATAAATTAAGGAAGTTAGGGTGAGTGTTGGACCAAGAAACGATAATTACAAGTACACAATGCGTGTACGGAAATTGATTTATTATTATAGTGTGGTGTATTTGCGAAAACCAGAAAAAAAAAACAAAGTTCGAAACGTTCGATAGGTTGTCCACAAAACTATTTAACTGAAATAAAATCTACTATGGTGAAAATGCAATCAAGTGGTCAATAAACAAAACAAAAAGTAATATTATAAAATTATTCGTCATCGTTTTTAACCACGCTGCAGGACCAATAAAATATTATACTACTTGTACAAACCAAAAAATCAATTATTTTAATATTAAAAATGTTAATCTAATAATCAGACGATTGTTACAGGTTTGAAGAAGGATGACATGGTTAAGTGTTAATTACTAACACTCGGTAAAATAGGGTCGAATAAAATATAATATCATAATAATATGGGCTACTTTCTTTCAAAATTGAAATACTATTTTCCTCCACTGTACGTTTTCTTCCGAAAAACAAAAGATATTTCCTTATAGTTTCCATTCGAAAATTTCCTTGCACTCCGAAAATAACATCACTCCGGACAACGTAAAGTCGATAAGACGAAACTCGTATATAATATATTACAAAATTATGAGAAGGCTTGTTTTAATTTCGTCGGTTAACGACGAACGATTATAATTCGGGACACGGCGTAATAATTATTATTATAATACTTACTACAAAATATTATACTCGAACGGAATATCGGAATTACGAAAACCTCCAAAAAATTTAATTTCAAAGCAAATTATATTTATGAAATACGATAAAAATTGATTACGGGACTCGGAACACATATTATTAGATAATAATTATATACCTGCCTGTACCTAATACATTTTTTTATGCAATTCGCCCTTTTAGTTCGTGCGTCGTCCAATTTCCTATTAATAATCGGGTAATTTTTCAAATCATCACATAATTTTATGTGGCCGAAATATCGACAAACAATATATTTTTAACTATATAAATCATTTTTATACTCTCGCAATATCTAAATAATTGTATACAGAACGATCCACTTATCACAAACCAGCAATTTTCTCAAAATATTTTAAATGTGATTGATTCTGTAATTTTTTCAATCATTTAGGAATCGTTTAAGCTTTATTTTTATACTACTTTCAATTTGTCATCCTTATTCTTTATACCTGAAATGAGTACACTTTGAATTTTTAAATAACACTCCCTTTAATCACAGATTTGAATAGAGAGTATTTATCTGATAAAAAAAAATGATTGGTATAACATTGATATCGGATTTACTATTTATTCGTAGACACACACACACATTACTGTTGTTAATCCGAAATTGGTGTTACACATACATAATCAACATTTTTAGAAAAATATTCTCTATTCGAATCTCGTGTTAAAAAGGGAAGATTTCTTTTTGAAAATCAAAAATATATAGTTACTCATTTAAGGTATAAGAAATAAATTAATGATTAAACAATTCCATAACGTTTGGAAAAACCGCACAAAAATCGAATTAAAATTATCCGAGAAAATGTATTAGTGGTTCAGTTTAATAAGTTCATTACTGTGTATTTGAAAAAAAAATTCAGGAAATTATATATATTATATATACATATTACATGAATTAATAATAATAATTTATTACAATACATACAATTATTGTATTTATTATTTACTGTGCTGTCTTCTGTTATTATTTCTGCAGAATGTTTTAGAATTAGAATTAGGTTATAACTTATAACCTATTAAAACCTATTGAATACCAGTTATATTATAAATATAATTTACTATTTTTATGTTATTTATCATATAAAAACAGTATTTTAAATTATTTAAATAAAGTATTTTTTGATTTTCCGAGCAAATTTACATAATAATTGGAAAAACTCATTAAAAAATACTTAAACTAATATAATTGGGTACTCTGACCAGTTTACCGAGCTTAAAATCATTTTTTGTTTGCAATATTTTATCACAACGTCTACAACTAAATTGTCCATATCATAATATTATATACCTTGCAAATACTTCCCTCCTACAACATTGGCCTATTTTATTTGTTACGTTTCAATTACAAAAATATTATTTTCTTTCACGATATTGCGATATTTTTGATAATAACACAGTATAAATGTAACGTTAAACAGTTTAAACAATAATATCATTCGATCAAGTACAGTGGTACATTTATGAGAGGGCCAAAGGTGGGGTGAAGAAAATGTTTAAAGTACGGGTGTACCGACGTAAAAAAAATAATAATAATAATGAGTTCGTCTTGACATGTTTGGAGTTCAAAAGAACCAATCAGACAAATACCGAAATGGAAACCAAACACTGAAAATCCCAGCAAACAGACTAGACAATGGTGGACAAACAGAATACTGGAATATTTCACTGGGCTACTGGGCGTCAGCGACGCAAAAGAAACTACAAAATCAGTGAATATTGGATGTAGTATTTTGTTTATAATTTATTATTGTGCACATCGATTATAAGAAGATCTCGGTTAGAAAAGGGTACAAAAGTATACAATCGTGGGAGAAATTCTGTGTACATTTATCAATTGAGCGGAAATAATAGGTCATAATTTATTATCATTTATGTGTATCGTACGATAATTAAACACGAAATCCGAGATGGGGTCGCGTTTAGTATTGCAGTATTATTATAGTACAAGTGGTAATAATTAAAATAAAGCGCAGCTCTCGTTAACATTAATATTATTATCTATTAATATCCGTCGTTAAAAATAAACGATTTAACATTTCAGTTTTTTTTTTTTTTTTTTTAATATAACAGTTTATATAAGTAGGAAAAATATCTTTAGTTTAAAGCGCAGCGCAATTATTGCTAAAAGAAAAAAAAAACGATGGTGGTAATTCATCGACTCGGGGATTATTTTTTTAATTTTACGGATTTAGGAAAATTATATTATTGCCGATGTAGTACTCGGTCGCGATTAAAAACGTATAGTGGGTTGCACAACAGATAACCAGAAGGTGCCCAGCCATACTGCCGGTAACCTAACCGTATTTTCGGGGTAAAAAAAAAAAGGTAAAATTAAATATTGCGGTCAACCCAGCGCCGCCGATGCGTTTTATGTGACCACTTGTAATATTCGTGTAACAACGATCCGAGGGTTATAACATTCTAGGCAGGTTCTTATTTGCATTTTTTTTGTTATTATACGTATAAGTTTTTTTTTGGAAATATCTCTAATACTTTTCTCCAATATCGTATCTAATATAAATGTCGTATTCGATGTACTGGTAACTAACGGGGCGTCGACAAAAGACGTAATTATATTTTGTAAGTACTTGTAACTAAAAACGGACAGAGAACACTGCGGGGATATAAGGTGTCTGATCTCATGTTTAGAAACCAAAAACCGACGAAACACCGATAACGCTTTATTTATTTACAACAAATGCTCGTACATATTTTGAACAGAGACGGCATACAGATTGTGTGCATTTTAAAATTGTATTTCTTCGTAGAGACGTGAAAGTGTACTTGAATTTCGGACTTTTAGGTTTCCAAACATAAGTTTAGACACCTTATATACACGTTGTATCCGTCCGTAGTTACCAATATACATTGTTGCAGTTGTTGATTTGGTTGACAAAAAGATATATTTTATTGATTGTAACGTTATTATTTGTATTAATTTAAATGTAAATTCATCATATTATTAACATTTACTGAAACATTAGTAGTAAATATTCATTCATACTAGCTAATATTAAAAATATAAAGTAATAACATAAGCAGTACTTGATTGTGTATGGAACTATAGTTTGTTTAAAAACCGGGAACTTAGATCACTTGTAGAGTGGGCTTTATTAATTGTTTTTTTGTGCCCTAACTTTGATTATGTTAGCTAAATGCATTTTTTTAAATTTTATTATAGTCGACCAAGTAGAAAAATAATACAAATTTTAAAAAATCTGAAATTCCAAATGGCTATGAATAACTGAACGGTCGCCGAAACGTTATGAAAATTACAAATGTCTAACATAGGTGCTTTGGTAAATATCTCGTAGGAAATTTAACTCTACGTTTTTCCCCGGTGTTTCGCAGTTTTTATGAAAACTACAAATAAAATCAAAAAATGACTTTGTTAATGCACCATCGATTAGAAAAACATTAAACTAAAAAAATTTGTTTACAGATACATATAATAGTAATACATTACTCGCAATGATAACAATCTAGAAAAAAAAAAAAACAACGTTAAAAACCTATGAGCCCCGTTTACGAAAAATACATTGATACGTTTCATTCATAAATTGTTTGTATTATTATTGTTATTAATATTGCAGTATACCAAGTGCGGTGTTATCACTGCAAATTTAAACTTCTTTATAATTTACCTCTGACGCAAATATACTGCACTCAAAAAGTATACATACAAAATGTCGATTCGGTTTTTTAGATTCCAAGCGTAGCGAGGAGAGCTATTAGTTTTACAATACTGTTTATTTTTTTTTCTTCTTCTCTGTTCTAGTAGTTTGTGTGTGGACACGTATTTTCCTAGTAAACTTCCTCCGATGTATATATATATAAGTGTAACGCCTTTTCCGAAAGCTCAAGTTGTCTAGATTGTACTTTAAAGAGGTCATTTTTTTGATTTTCGATAACAATTTTTAAATAAAAGCACTTTACTAGGAAAAAACGTAGGAAAACGTACAATTTCACGATTTCATTATTTTATAAAAACACGGTCGATGTTTTCTACCGGAAAAAATAATTTAATCGAAAAATCACTAAATATATTTTTTGTTGCTTTTTTGATTTACTTTCTTACGGTATTATCACCAAAACTTTTGAGCTTTTAATGAATTTTAATTTTTAGGAGTTTTTTTTACTGTAATTCAGTTAAAAATACACGTAAAGACTTGAAACTTGGTAATAATACTTATATTGGACTTACCTAAACGTGGTAAAATTTCTAAAATCATCGGATGACATTTTTTCCTTTTTTTAATTTTTTTTACAATGGTTCTTTATTCTTTTTTTGTACTGTAGACCACTTAAATTCTGGAAAACTTGCTCGGATGTATAAGTGTAGCACTTTTTCTGAAATTCAATTTTTTCTACTTGATAAATACATAGGTCATTTTTTGAGTTTCGAAAGAGTATATAAAATAAAAAAACGATTAACCGGGGGAAAACTACGATTTTTTTCACGATTTCGTTATTTTAAATAAATACCTGTCACGTTTTCTAGCATACATATAGTTTCAATTGAAAAACGACAAGAGATCATATTTTTGTTACATATTTTTCTTAATAAGCGTTTTAAATTCAAATTCAAACGAAATCACAAAAAAATTACGGCACTTCAAATTATGTATTACCGTACTGCACTCGAAATCGTCTTTTGTCAATAATAGTTTATCGTTGCTTACAGATATAAATGAAATGACCTTATTAGGGAAGGTAAGATATCTATAACAGTGGCTACACCCATCCCCAGAATCAGTTCTTTTTTTTTTTTTTTTTTAAAAGTTTATTTTTTTTTCATTACAATATAAAACTTTCTAACTGTTTTGAAACATTTGTTACAAGTCGAACAATCGTCCGCGTAACGATTATAAATGCTGAAAAATAATTTATGTAGGTACATTAATAGCACCGCGTTTGTTTCGTTATTTAAAAATACATTTTTTTTTTTTTTAAATTTTCACTTAAAATATAAACTGTATATTTATATACATATTATATATATATAAAAACGAGGGTGATAAACAATATTACAAACATTTTCCCGCTCGTTCCCCATCCCTTCTCTTAATCCTGTTTCGCGTTAGATTTATACTGAAGTACGATTTATAATGATAGTAATAGTAATAATAATAATAGTTCCTCACTTTTTATTTTCGCTTATAAAAGTGTTTTATCCTTTCGCCGTTTCACTTTCACTACAATAATATAATAATAGCGACTCGGCTACATTATAAACCATCAAAGTTTTTATGATCCTTCCACACGAACTCGCCGTTCGGTAACACTATCATAATTATAATTATTACATTACAATGTATATATATCTTCTTGAAAAACGAAATAATTTATTTGTAAAAAAAAAAAAAAACAAATAACTTTAACGAGTAAAAGAATATCCTGGACACGCTATACGTGTCATGCGTAGGCCACTGTTGTAGGTGGTAAATCCGGAAGTTGTATTATAGGATTAAATATAGGTGATTATTATAGGTATATTTAAGTGTTATATTTTAGTCTGTAATAATTTATTATGCTAAAAGAAACAGAGTACCAGTACTGAATAACGCCTTGTATTTTATTTTAAAGAAAACTCGTATCGCATTTCAATAGTTACACTATTTTGCGATTCCATAAATTGTGGTTTTTATTTTTAAAACAACACGCACCGGCCGCGTATACACAATTAACAAAATGCGTGGGTCATATAGGTAGATTATGATTTTTAATATTTCACGGAGGTGCTTCGTTTAAGTTGTCAAAAACAGCGAATTCGATAGTTATTTTTAAATAGTCGAATGTGTTATGAAAATTGTAATATATTCGTATAAAATACAAGACAAAACCACGAGTGAAACACGGGTTTTGTTTCGTATTTTATTCGAGCAAAATATTCTACAAAGGGTACTAATAATCTATCCCATAATAAATTCTGTACCGTCTCATGCTTTTCTTAAAGATATTTTTCTCAAACGTGGATTAGTCATGATATTTATATCATATTTGTATGTATTTTATTATAAACCGTCAAGGGCAGTTTAAGAAGTATTCGGAAATCTTCAGCTCGATCGTGGTACTATTAAAAAAAAAAAAAAAAAAAAAATAGTAGGGCAGCATAATCAGGAATATAAACATAAACGGAAAAAATCTTGAAAGGCAAAATAATAAACAGCAAAAACAAGACCGGCAAAATCTGAAATGACAAAGAGTTTTGTCGATCCAGGTTTTTGTCGTTTCAGATTTTACATATTCAATTTTAAAAATTAAATTACTCTAAATTGTTCCATTATTGTTTATGTTTCGGGTGTTGTCATCCTAAATAGTATCTTTCTATTTGACGACGTTCTTTATGTGTTCTCCTAAATAAACTAAGTATACAAGTGTCTGAAATCGAAGAAAATGGTCCGCAAAAAAAAATTGCTTTCGTAAATTTTTAAGTTTTTACACGTCACAATGTTCCGGTTTTTTAAATATTTCAATTCGGTCCCGGTATGGCCACGGTTCTCGACATTACACTGGTTTTAAGGGTTTCAAAAAAAAACTGATTGTGCGCGGTATATTTTTTTCATGCGGTTCCTGTCCCCTGTCCGGGATGTTAAATTTTTTTTTTACATTACAAATAATCTGATCAAATAATACCGCGTTCGTTATCGCCAGCAGCTTATTATTGTTGTCGCAGTTACACCCACAGTCATAGATTTTCACGGGCACAGGTGTGCATCCCGCATCCGGGATATTAATCTCAATATATAATATTAGCCTTTTTAATGGTTATTATTACACACATATACGTAATATCATACGATCCAAAGGGTCCCTCGCGTCGTTGTGTATTGTATATAGACATTATTAATGACTATGGTTTCCTACAAAATACGCCAACATATATAGGTAGATACTCCATATCGTAGGGATACGATTTCCCAGCGAAACCTTATACCTACCATCGATCTTTCCGTTAAAAAAAAAAAATCCGTATTTTCGGCATTTTGCGTACCATATACACCGTGATGATGGTATATGAAACGTCATTAAATTATATTGTACTGACACTTTCACCATTATATTATACGCCGCACTTAGCAGCGATACTTCATAACGTTCGCACTTACGCGCGTGTCCTTTTAACTGCAGCTAGGTATTTCATAATTTTTTTTTTATTTTTTTTTTTTTTTTTTTACTTATTAAAACCTAGTCGTTTTTGCTTCACTCTTACCGTTTTCGTATTTATAATCGTTTTCTTTTTTAAACTGGGTGAATATCTCGGTATGAAAATCTGACATTTATATAACTTCGTTTTTTATTTTTCGACCGTTTTTAGCGTTGGAAATATTTCAACCATGAAAAAAGACCTTAAATGTAGGACAGGAAGATTTAATACCAATTTAATACTTCTAAAAATTGAATAGTGTGTAATATTATATAGGTATATACATAATATAGATACATTATTTACACTTTTCTTGTTGAATTTTCAAAAGTTAGAACTAAAAAAAAAAATTAAAACACCGGAACAAGAGTGCATGTTTGTTAAAAGACCACCACAATGGTGACAATCGTTTTCAATGGTATTTATAGACAAAACAAAAAAAAAATCGTTTCAAAAGTCCCCAGAGTGTCCGTAAAACGTATACGCTGTAAAAGACAGTCTCATTCCTGTGTCTGCGCTTTTTTTTTACAACAATTTCCAAAGCAAAGACTGTCCATTTGCGCAATTTGTATTTCCGATAGAATAGTTTTTAAATAATTATAATATCCAAAGAAAACGAAAAAAAAAACGCACCTTAAATATATCACTAGTAAATGGAAAAAGCTTTAAAATTATATAGGATAATTATATTTATTTATAATATATTAATATATTAGTAAATTGTTGAAATAAAAAACCGATTATGAACGGAGTAGTTTTAAACGTGTTTTTTTTTTTTATTTAGCCAACAATGAAGTAACCCAGAAATCAACAAAAATAAAACCGATTTGTTGAAATTTGTTGACTGATTAGAAAAACTATAGGGAATCTAGAAATTGTTTTTAAACAAATACTACATGTCGAAAAATCTGCATCTTTTAATAATATAGGTCGTGGGATACGAATAGTTTGCAGCATTTTAACTAACCGTAAAAAACCTCTTAGTAAAACGAATACAGCTTCTTTCTTACATAAGAATAATTACATTAATGAAAATTGAAAAAACATTAAAAATTAACAGTTCGTGGACAAATTATCTAATTTAAAAATGTCTTGAATGACGAAACAAAAAAGGGAAAAGTGCATAATAATATTATTTTTATTACGTTTCGATTTAGTTTGTTTGATTTATTTAGAACTCGTGCTTAGAAGTTGCACGTAATACAAAGTTGGCTAATTTAATGGACGTTGCGATGCATTTAGTATACAAGGTCATTTTTCGAAATTTCCGTGTTCGATTTATAGGTATACCTACTCCGAAAGTGTTACAAAGTTTCGAAATTCTCTCGCGACATTTTTGTCCTAAAATAATATTTTACTTTTATGCCGCAAATAAAAAGGGTTTGCTGAAACAACTAACAGAGTAAAATATTTATTCGAACTTTTATAATAATATTCCCTATATTTTTATGCGAATAATTTTATTTCCAACACAGCTGCAACTGAAGTAGGTAGTAACGTGAGTAAAACGTCAAGGATTTTTTTTTTTTTTAAGTCGACCAGCCAAACGGTTTGTCTATTTTTTATCCCCTCAATTTAGACGTATACAATTTTTTATTGCAGGGACACGGTTATTTCAGTAGGTATTTATAGTTTAGGCAATTAAAGTACTTTTTTTACGTCGGTGTACCCGCAAACATTGACGCCCATTACATTTAATCCCTTTCCTCCTCTCCCGGATAAATTTTTGAGGTTACACAAGTTTTATGGTTTAGATTTTTGATTCTATTCACCCCATGGTTATTTGAGTTTAATTTTGGACTCCAATACTATTCGTTTAAGTTTTCGATTTTCCTTTATTCTGTTCACTACTTCCTAGTGTTACACTTAAATTCTATATTAAATTTTTTAAGCATTTATTCAACAGATTTTAAAGAGCCTATAATTTCTTTTCTGATTTGTACCACTTATCCAAGTTTCATGACCATATATATCGAAATAACCATAATTTATAACTCAATATCAGGGGTCAAATTGAAAGAGGCACGAAGGAGAGCAATTCCTTGCCTCTATATACACTTAAAGCCATTATCTTTAACATAATTTTCAAAAGTTACGTAAGTACGCTTCGATCTTTAAGTTGAATCAAAAAAGGACAGGAGTAAATCTCATTTTTACCATTTCTCATGGATCTATATCAATAATAATGAATTGTTTATCGCAGAAATTCTCAAAGTATGGTACGCGTATAGTGGTATACGTCCATCTGCCGCACACCACGCGCAATTATAAAATAATAAAATATCACATCTGGGAGGTTAATTCAATATTTTAGCTAGGTAAGATAAGTTATCCTAAAAAAAAAAAAATAACTAAGCTGTAAGTAATTTTGAAACAAAAATCAATTTGAGTACCTAGGTACTCAAGTTATAAAAATTGTTTAAAGAAATGATAACTTCGTTAAGTTAAAAGTTACTTTTTATATTTTTTATCCTATACTTTACAAGTGTACTCGTATAGGTACGTAATTTTTGTCATAATATTTTAGACTTATAGAACTATTGTAGAAAACTCCTGTAGTCATATCATATCATTACATAGTCCACATTTCTGTCTTTTTATATTGTGATAAGGAATGATATTCACGTAAAAATATATAATTTACGACGAAAAATGAATACAACAAACCATTGGTACACAGTTTTGTTTTTTTGTTTTTAAATAACATACATTTTAATAAAATAGTCAAGTCATGTTAAGATTGTTTACTAAAAGTCATAACTAAGTTGTTTTCAACAATCTATATTAGCAATAATTTGGAGCAAAATGTACGATGTAAACTAAATTAACAGGCTGTAAATTACATACAGACAAAGCCGGGTAATACAACAAGTTATGGTATGCATGTGTATGTATTTATTTTTACGTTTAAAATACAAAATATTCGTCACATTATTTCACCATGCTCAAAAAGTTTTAGATTCTGAATTATATGGATTTTATATAAAAAAAATGTTCAAAATTGCATGTACATTTTTCGAAAATATTGATTAATATGATTTTTTTTTTTTTTAAATTGTTTCGTTGATGACGATGATTATACTTTATATTTGAAACATTTTCTGAAATTGTCCGCAGTTCACGACCAGAGTTCTTTTTTAAATTTGTTTTTCCCAGAAACCCATTTTTGGTTACTTAGTAAAAACGTTTCACATTAATCACACGTAAACACATCATGCTTATAGTTTTATTGATTTATGGGTTTTTTCGATTGGTTAGGCGCATTTTATAACAATAGTGCAATTGTAAAAAATGATTCGAAAAATCAGGATTTCATTTTACCACGAGCATTCACAGTTGAAAACATATTATTATATAGGCTATACACTCCTATTGGAATTATAGTTCTAGTTTTCTAAGTTTTACAATATTGTCATCGTTTGGATAACGAAAAAATTATTGTACTTTAAAAAGAAAATACATTTCATATATGACAGGGAGGAGCCGAATTTACGACTATAGTATAGAAACAAATTTAGTAAGTAGGTAATTTAAAATGATTATATGAAGATATATTTTTAAAAAAAGTTTTTTTTATAGCGGGATATGTCATAATTCGCATCGCAGTTATGGTCACTGTCGTAGCACTTGATAAGAAGTTAAAAATTAAAAATAAAGTACCACTTGGCCGGAAAATTCGCATTGTTTAATAAGTGACTGTTTTTGAAGGATTTTTGTTAATCGAAAAAATGGACAATATACATTCCACACTCCGTTCAGAATCTACAAATATGATCATCCTTAGGGTATTAAGGTCAACAAAACAAAAATACGAAATATGTTCGAACTTTGTTTTCAGTTGTGATATAAAGAAGCTCGGCGTAACACATTGACATGGAACTATCGAGACGACAGTGATTACTAAAATTCCCGACCGTGTCAGGGATAGAGGCCAAAATAAAATCAGCTGACACCACCTGCACTACACCGACGGTAATCGTGGGCAACAGGTGTGCGCTTCCCCTCTCTGCAGAAGGATTACCTGTAGCCGGTTCCTCGGATTTACCTAACGTCAACGGCATTAATTAATCGTGGGATATTTCACAAATAATATTATTTTAATCATAACCTTGCATGCGTATAACATAATTATATTATATTCTCCATAATATAAAGAAGGAAGACTGCAAAACAAATCCGTGGGACACCGGAATCTTAACAGATTACCGCGCTCTATTTTCTTGCACGTTTTTGATTTTGGCCAACTCTTAATTTCTAATTACTATTTTATTATAGTTTTTAAATGTATTTTTAACACTACACTATAGTTCCATATACAATTATTAAGTACTACTAGTATACATAAAATTCTCTTCTGTATCCTACCTTCCCAACTTTCCACCTGCAACAGTGGCTGCACTCGTACCCATTATCCTAGGACAGCTTCTTTTATTTTTTTTATCGTTATTCCCGTTTTCCTTGTCCGTATCAGTATATTGAATGAAAATAATTAGCCTAACCTAACATAATTAAAAATGTTTATAGTGTGTCACATTCTTTTTATCCGTATCACCATAGATACTCGCACAGTGAGGTTAAATTATATAATATTCGCTATAATAATATTAAAATTATGAAGACATAACACTGTAGCGTTGTTACTGTACCAAAAAATACAAAAATTCAAAGATGACGTTTTACGTATTTTCACTTACCCATCCAGTACAGGGCATAGTTTTTTGTTTTTTTTTTTCATCCATGTATCCAATATTAGACTAGCAGACAGTCTGATAGCCTCTTTATTTTAAGTTGTTATAGTGGCCATGGCATTTGTATTTCTGTTTATGATTTTTTTTTAATTTTTTTAATTTCATCTGTGTTACTAAGATAATCGAAAAATCATTTAGTGTTCGTACCTAAAATCCTTAAAAATACTTTCATCTCCTATTTCATCCCCTTCGAATTTTATCTTCGTAACGAAAATATCTCTATACCAAAATTCATCAAAATTGGTTCAGTGGCGTGAAAACATAACAGACTGGTTTACTTTCATTATTTAAAATATAGTCTAGGATAATATTCGAGATTTAAATTTAATAATATAACGAATTTATATTTAAATAAAGAATAATACAAATAATGTCACCTTGTCAACTAAATCAATAATCATAACTATGTACTGGTAACTACAATTTGACGGACGGACACAACGAAGATGTAAGATGTTTAAACTTTATTTTTAAGTAACTACTAAATTTCGCCCAGCTTTTTTTATGTATAAGCTACGCTTATAATCTTAAACTTAAGTGTGATGTAGTAGTTTTTTTTAGAAAAATTTAATATTAAATTTTGACGAAAATCGTAAAAATTACATTTCAAAATATATATAACCTAGCTCGTATTTTGTCCACTGATGATTTATCGTTGCATACAGATAAAAATTAAATACCTTTCCAATTTCCTACCTACAACCTACCCATCAACAGTATCTTTTTTTTTTTTTAGAAAATATGCTGTGTAAAACAGTGACATCTCTAATTATATTATATAAAATTTATTATTTCGACGACCTCTTACCTATATAGTACACATTCCGAACACGAGTGTTATAAATACATTGTCACGGTCTCCGAGTTTTTGGGTCAGGACACCTATCGGAAGGGGGAGAGTGTTAAACGGGTCGACAAAAAAATCCCCAAAGGGTTAATATACCCTAATGATCGCGTAACTTTCGGTGGCATACATCTGACCAAGCTTTACAGGTCACAAGAATTACTGCACCTGTGGCGAAGAGTGGCCATGTTACACGAACTCCACTCGAACCGCTAAATCCCGTAACCTCCCTTAAATCCCAAATTACTTTCAATAATTACGAGTTGTTGACACATCCTCAATTTTCTCGTGCGTATTTGTGAACGCCACAATTGTGGTTAAAAATATTACCTTGTTCGTTATTTTTGAATTTAAATGTTATTATATATTATGCAAGACCATAATGAATAATCATAATTAAAATAGAAAAAACCTGGTACTGCTAATGGGTCTGCACTGTTTCAGCAGGGAATTTGGAAAATTATAAAGAGTAATTACGTAAATTTGGTTAATTTAAACAGAAAAAATCGATCGCCAAATAAATTTGAAGTTACCGTTAACAAACTGTGTTTTGGAATATGTACAATATACATTGAATAATTAGCTATCAACAATTTTTATATTTATATTTAACTATTATTAGAATACAGCAAATAATGCTAGTAAAACACAAATATGCTGTTAAAACTCAAAAGATATAAATCATTATAATAATAAACACGACTGTTAATTTACGTGCATTTCATGGTAATATTAATATTATATATTTTAGAGAAACTAAACTCCGCTTTGTTCATAGATGCAGTAATGTTGCAATTTGAATATTGACCCCGTAATGGAAAACGCAGCTTGTATATGCCCTACGGGTTTGTTTCGAAAATCGTTTGATATTTCATATTATATTTGCATTTTTCGAACAAATATATTACCTACACAAAATTCGAATGTAACCAGTCGTAAATATTGTAACGGCAAATCCTAATACAATCGATCTCTTGGCCGACCATATATCGGTAGGTAAGTAAGTGTATTTCGAGATGACGTCCAGAACCGAGTGAAAAAGCCTAATGGAAAATCGGAATTTTTCCGGTGGGCCCCTGTCTGTACTTCAATATAGAGCCCTTGATCTCTTGGCCCTTTGACTGTCGACGTTTCGTACTTCATCCTAAACTATTAAGTTAACTTAATAGCCGTGGCATGGCCAAAACTGTGAATATAATGGTATATATTGTAACCTAATATAACGTATAATGGTAAAATAAAATAAAATGGAGTGCAATATAAAATTGTAGCCCAATCCTATCCACTACGTGATGCTAATTATTGATAGAAAAAAACCTTTTTTTCGACTTACTCGAACTTGTCGTATTGCACGATGAAAATATACGTATATATTTTAAAACTCTTATTCGTTAAAAGATCAATTTAGAAATGCGTAGGAAGCAGTGTATGCGACATTTATTTATTCTTGCCTCTATGACAGCGTTATTGTTTTGTCTTTGGCACACAAAATATTCACCGTCAGTTTTTTTTTCCAATCTGGCATTATAATAGATACGTTTAAAACTTTAAAATATTCAATAGGTTACACTCATATTATTTTCGATAACGATACAAAAATCTAGAATGATCTTCCGTTGCTTCAACTCCTTTATCCCTGTTCACATCGTAACATAGTTTTCAGAAAAAAATATTTCAATAATACTTCACATGGTACCACTTTTGATTGTATATGCTCCGTCGTTAATAATCCGTGATCAGATTTTCAATTTGCATGCAAACACAGACTTTACATTGGTTTATGGTTACTGCAAATTAATATATAATAATGATAGTTATCCATATTCCTCCACCTAGTAGCTGTGTTTATGAATGATACTGTTTTAATGAATTGACTATTAAATACGATCTCAATTGTTTTTTTCATACCTGAAAAAACGTTCAGGAAAAAACCCGCGTTTTCTACACTGAACCGTATGAAAACGTATTTAAGGAGGGAAACTATGTCCTGCCCACCATGTGTAATATAAATAAAAAAGAAGAAATTAATTAAAATTAAATTATAATTAGGTACTGCCTTTGTTCAAAATTTTCCTACAATGATGTGGCTATCAGAAGGGTATAAAAGTATCTATAGTTACAAGATATGCTAATATATATATATATTATACTTTCATTACAGTATTAAGTTTTTTCACAAGTTTTATTGAAAGTATATTACATTGAAACTTATAATAAAAAAAAAGTTTTTTTTTAAATTTTTTTGAAAAGTCAAACAGCCAAACCCCCTTTGAAACACCTATGATTCAATGATTCAAACATAGTTCGCCCTTCTTCCCCAATCTGTACACCATTATACATTGTGATTTAATGTTTACATATTATGTATGTTATTATCATTTTCATTTTTAATTTACTTTTTAATTCGTTTTATAAACATGATTTTTCTAAGATATTCTGCTTTAAATAGTAAGGATATTAATCTTTTACAGAAATGGATACCAATCATTACACGTATATTATAGATAATTTATTGTTTTGATTCGTGCAGTTATTATCCTTTAGTATTTAAAGTAGAATAACTCAGATATTTGTCATTAAAATTTCGATTAAAATACGTCAACATTTTCAAACAAATAATTTGATTGGTAATTTAAATTAAAATATATGAATTCTTAATAGAAAAATCAAAGATGGTTTTGTCGCAAAATACTTTCTGTCGTGAAAAATTCGAATATTCGAAGATATTGGCTTTCACTATACACTTGAAAATTTCAAATATCAGAAATTTGTGCATAATTTAACTATAATAATAAGGTGAGTACTGAGTATGCTTGAAAAAATTACTCTGTATATTATTATAAATATTTAAGAAAAATGACTTAATGGGGGGGGGAGATCTGTCCCTCTCATATCTCCTTTGTTTGATTACCCCAATACAATACAGGTATATGGTAACGGACGGTTTTATAATACGTATATCCGACCGCAGTCTATTTATTTATCGGCGGAATTCCGTCGTTCTAAACTGTGAATACCCCTGCAGACACCTACCCAAACACGCGTGAGATTGTACTCTGTACCCTCGCTCGTACCCTCGTAATCCTGGCCGGTTAATAGAAATGGCTCCCAAATACAGGTCGATATTTTACATTTAAAAATTCCCTTTGAATTAGCTCCCAAGAATTTACTATTAAACTGGCTACCTATGATTTTTTTTTTCAAAAGCATATTGGTTACACAGTGTTATTAATTATTTATAAGCTTACTATGAAGATGGGTACCCACTACATACGTATACATGTACAATGTACAATGTAAATTACATATACATTCTTACTGCAATTGATTAGTATCAATGGTAAGCTTTTGGTGAACCAGTGTTATACTTTTATTATCACATGATAATGGTTTGGGATTTATGCATTCTGTGGCAAGTTGAGGTTATACACCTTAGCTACTTAGTCAACTTTATATAATATATATTTATTTTAAATTGTCCTATTATGCCTATTAGCCTATAGAGATTTAAAGTGGCTAAAGATCCCGTTGGCTTCAAGTTCAAAATAAATAAGTAAACTATGTTATCTTACATTAAAAATAAAATACTTTAACATTTTTCAAATTCAATGGTCTATTTTTCTATTTCTTCAAAATTGAAAGCTATTTCAATGGTGCCCGGCCTGGTTTCCGATTTTTACAAACGACCACAGTGTTTATAACATTATGATACATACAATTAAAATAAACGTACAATATACGTATATCACACGTATATATATTATACAATGTATAATAATATACTATTTACCTACACAAACGCGCGCGCCTAAAAAAAAAAGTGGACAAACAAATCGGTACCGTGTGCATAAATCAATGAAATTCAGTGTGGTAATAATACGAACGGTATAATAATATAATATACGAATGGTGTGCGTTTGTGGGAGGAAAAAATACCAATAAACGCATATTATATAGTTATTATTCTTTATTTTTTTTTTTGTTTATCGTCATGTCATAAAATATAAGGGTGGGTGTAGCCTATTGTAGTAATATATTATTATTTGTATATATACGAATACATATATTGCCACTCGTTCGTGTTACACGGTTTTATTTTTATTAACACTGGGATTCATACAAAAACTGTAGACGTATGAATGCCCTTTCCTCACCTCCAATCTATGATATTTATGAACAATATTAAGTGAAGAGGATAGAGACAATCATAAGGAGTTAGAGACAATTATGAATGAAATACTTTTATATTTTTATAAATCCATGAAGTTGATTATGAATATCCATAAACATATCAAACTCAAAGATATATAAATAATGGCAATTGTATAGCACCATAAAAGTGCACTCAAGGGAGGGGGGTAGAAGAGGCGGCTGTCTTCTCAGCGAGATTTTCCGCCAAAATATTTTTTTTTAAAAACATGTTTGATATACATGTTTTTTTTTTTCATGTTAAACCCTAGTGTACCCTTAATTTTGTGTATTGGCGCAAATAGAGGAGGGCTTTTGGAAAATTTTGAACTCCCGAAGTACTCAATTAAACCTCCTCAAATAAAGATCTATAAAGTATATATCATTAATATTAGGCAGGCTAAAGCTCTCTCCGAAAATATTTGTATTATTTGTGCTTATGACTTTTGTGAATGGTTTGAATGCAAAAACCATTGCCTCCCTTGCCAAAAAGACCTGCGCACGATTATACATGGTGTATAATGAAGATAAATAAAAAATAATGAATCATTTCATCCATTACTTCTCGCAACTAGCACTATCTATTTCAATCAATATCGGTTCCCCATTTTCTACCTTAAGCGCATTTATTAATTCTTCTATAATAAAAACCTAAAAATCTAGAAATTATGATAATCTACAGAAATTTCTCCATCACAGTTTTATCAAATGGTGAATCTGAAGCTCATTTAAGAATAAGGGGGGCAAACTGATATCATAGGCACACTTACACGACCGTAACTGAAAACAAATTCAGGATAAGGGTTCAAAATATATTTAATATTCTATATACTCGTATTTTTTTACGTTCATACATACAAGCACTGGACAATGAACATTCCCCCAACCCCAACCGTGGCCAACGATACCTAAATAATTTAAATAAATATTATTATTAAAAAGTCCAAGGGGGAAGTACATCACATTACTCCCCCCCCCCTCGAATTCCCCAACATTTCATCATGACTATATCTATTATAACCTTATAGTTCTCCGAGAGGAAGGCTAATACAGGAAGTCAATTCAGTATAATTTTTCTATGGATTGATGACCATATGATTAAAGTAGTGAATCAGAAATGTAAAGCTGAACTCTGGATCAGCCGATTTGAAAATAGTTTTTTTTTTTTTTTTTAAGCTAATACTAGTAAAGCAAAAACAATAAACTCGGATATAAAACCATAGATAATATTTTATCACGTCAAAACCTCTGAAAAAATTAACTCGGTAATATTAAATTTAATATAACACTGTGAGAGATTATTATTGTCTTCACTAAAATCTGCTGCGCCAGAATTAAACACCTAAAACCAATGCACCAATTAAAATTAACGTTTCGAAAAACAATGTTAGGTTAGGTATAACATCATTTTATAGAGTGCGGGATAACTACAGGTATTGGTATATTATAAAATCAATTTACTGTTAATCATTCCGCTAAATTTTACTAATTTATTGGCATATGAATAAAATTTTTAAAAAATCACTATGAAATTTGTCAGTATCGAGGCTGTGAAACGGATAGTTCACTAAAAAGCTTTTTAAACCAAATGAAGCTCAAAATTTGCTTAAAATTAAAAAGAAACTATATTTAAAATCTTAAAAATAAGCACTAAAATGTACAAAAATATAAAGTTACCTATAATAACTGGATGCGTTCAGAATATAAGGCAATATAAGGAAAAAATGGTACGTAAAGACGGGAAAAAAAGTTGTTACACAAAATCACAAATATTAACAAAAGAATCGATAAAATACAAAGTTCATTGTGCGTTACAAATAATTCAAACTTAGTATTTTAATTTATCATAACCCAGTTCAATCGGGTCGTCGTTAGTGGATGGTGTTGTAATACTATAGCTATTTTTATCCTAAACGTTTATACGGTAAAAACGAATATCTGACAATGTTGTCTAATCTATTCAACATCAAAAATCTTTTGACTCTATATGTTATTTTTTTCTCGGCATCTTCTTAAATGACTTCAAAACGAATCGGCCCGACAACTTTTGGCTCCAGGCCCAGTGGTACCAGATCACAAACACCCTATATGTGTGTTTCACGTCGTTTGTTTTTCCGATAGCTATCACGAATCGCAAAAATATTACGAGCCAAAAATATCGGCGGCGGGATTAATGAGACGAAAACGTATTAACATTGTCGGCTAAACGTATACCTATTATTATACTCGCATCATAATAATTATTATGCGCACGTCATATTGCATTATTAAAAAAAAATTCCGCTTTACAAAAAAAAATAAAAAACCATAAATCTCTATCGCTGACATTATCAAATATGCATAAATCATAGATGGCTGGTCTATATATGGTATACCGAATGCCTTGAAATATTTAATAATCGTACCTATTATTACAGGTACTACTTTTACATTGAATTTCACGTGTAATACAAGTAATATTTTGAACAAATAAAACGTCTCGAGCACCGCACGATAATATTTAAATGACACGCAAAGTGATGCTATGTACGTGTAATTATATTATATACCTAACTTTTGTTTTGTCATTTCTCATTCGTATTGGTGCTACACCTATAGTGTGCTTACATAAATTAACATAATTAATTTCGAACAAATAAATTATATATGATAGTAATATGGAGGGGGTCAAATGTGTGAGGATCCAAGGGGATATGTTACCCCTCCCCCCCATGATATTTTTCCTGTCAATATATATAATAATAATATATTATTATTATTGTATATACGTATATATTATACGTACCAATTTATACTTATACAAAGTACAAATGTGAGTAATAATATTTGTTAATAAATCAGCTTTTCAAAATTATGAAAAAATGTTTTGAGCCCACTGAAACGTTTTAAGCATATACGTTTTTCGTTTTATACTACAATGGGACTTGGTTAACTAGAAGTTGAAGAAAGCGGCAAAAAGTCTGACTTGTCTATGAATTCGAATTACCTATCAAAAAATTGTGAAGTCACTTATTATAAGTATCGCGTAAACGACATGGATGTCTACAATTTTTACACCTCCAAAGTTGATAGTCTAGTTGAGCTCAGTAGTGTCTCAAGACCTTTTTTATGGAGGGGTAGGGTGAACTTCATACATTATATATAATACTATTGCTAATCCATCTCGATGTTATATGATAATATTCGTATTATTTCGGAGTGATAGCATTTATTTATTATTTTTTTTTTTGGGGGGGGTCTGATATGCGATATCACATGATTTTATAGAGTACCTACTGTTATTCATTTTCCTAGTATGATCACAGGGTTCATTCAGGAGTATAAAATTATACTTGATTTAAATACGGAACTCCACAAACTATACGCGATAATAATTGAAAAAAAAAGTTATTTTTATGGTGGTACTTTTACATTTAAATAAAGTGTACGAATACCAATTCGTTAATTATTGTGTTCTTGTTTATTATTTTGTAATTTATATTATTCGATTTTTCCATTCATCTATGAATTATATTCAAATAATATTGTTAGGTATTAATTTTATACATTTTAATATTATATTAATCATATACCATATTATTACTTTAAATACAAATTTGTGTTCTGCAAATTTGATATTAATTAAATCAAATTTAAAAAAGAGCTTATACTGGGGTTGGGAGTGGTCACTGTTGTAGGTGAGAAGTTGGGAAGGTAGGATTCATAAAGTTATTTAATTTATACCTATAAGCAACAATAAACCATTGCTTGAAGAAAGACAATTCTGAACGCAGTTCGTTAATACATAATTTGAAGTACCATATTTTTTTTTGTGATTTTCGTTTAAATTGGATTTCAAAACGCTTATTAAAAAAAAAAATTCGTCCGATGATTTTGGAAATTTTACCATATCTAGGTGAGTCCAATAGAAGTATTGTACCAAGCTTCAAGTCTCCACGTGTGTTTATAACCAAATAACAGCAAAAAAACTCCCAAAAGTTAAAATTCCTTAATAGCTCAAAAGTTTTGGTGATGATACCGTAAGAATGCAAATCAAAAAGGCAACAAAAAAGGTATCTTGTGGTTTTGCCTGGTAAAAACCGTATTTAAACAATATGCTTGCACATTTTTTCACCGGCACATTTGCAGGAAAAAAAACTGAAAGCACCGATTTCGGTATTTGAAATATATGTGTATCATTCGCTGTATCGTATACACGATTACGATACGCTTTGACGAGATTCAAAGTGAGCAAATACTAAGACACGATTTAAACACTCTTTTATTACCTAATATTTCCTGAGGGTTTTTTTTTTTTTTCAATTATTTATTCGGCTGAAGTTTTGTGTCTGCGGCAATATCGAACTGAGGAATTCAAAAAATTCCTAACGTCCGCGTGTTCAAATTATTATACCTATACACTGGTACATTATAGATATATATATATAATACCAAGTTACCAAACTTTGTAGGCGTGTTAAACACCTGTCTTGAAAAGCGCAAACCCGAAAATCAAAAACAAAAAAGAAAAAAAAAACAAAATAAGCAAACTGAATCCGTCACCGTATAAAACTAATGGCTTTCGCGTTGCGCCCAAAATATAATATTAGGTAGAAAATATATCAGACTTGAACTGCCAACGTGCCTTATTATTATGTGTATAAAGCTTCTTTTCGGGCTTTCCGGTCTTTTTTTTCTTTTTCTTTTTTTTTTTACTATACCATATTACCGCCGTGCGCACATTTTAGCTCATTTCGTTTATATAGAGTAGAATGATATTATTATCTTATTCTTTTTTCGCGGTGCATCATAATGTTATACGCACGGTAGTACGATTTTAAAATCGCGGTTACCGATTGCGAGAACTTTTAAAATGTTATTCCTTACATAATATAAAATTAATATTTTTATTATTACTAAGGATGGGCGATTTAATAACTCCGACACTCGACAATACATTCGATATTCTAGAGAAAGTATTAATATCGAAATCGAGGTATTTTTTTTTCTATCCATTTTGGTATTGTATTATTTTAAAACGAACCTTTCATACCTGCACGTTATGGTTAAATAGATTAAATAAAATAAATTACCTAGTTATTAGATTTGGAGGGTAGCGAGAGATATATTAGTTTTACTATGATGTGTGTGCGTTTTTTTTTTTGTGTCTGTGAACTATCTACTAGAAATCTTGCTCCAATGTATAAAGTGTTAAAGTGTAGCACCTTTTCTAAAAGGTAATTTTATCTAGTTGGTGCATGTGGGAAGCGCCGTGGCGTTACCGTCTGCTTTGTTTTTATTTTTGCAAACCACGTTTTCTACCAGAATTCTTATTCAAACTAAAAAATAACAAGAGAGTGATTTTCTTTCTCTCAACATAATATAGCCGCTGCCAAAGAAAATCAATTTTAGATATTAAAAATATTTTATGATACTTTTCATAATAATTGGGAAAACCAAGAAAATGTGTTCATACCTATATTACTTCTAAGTATTTTTTTTATAATAATAAATACCTACAGGTAAGTTATACTAATGATCAATATATTTCTATTTTTATTTTATTTTTAATAATAAAATGAATCGGGAATTGATGTATAATTGTGTATAGAATTCTAAATTTATAGTATCTCTAATTGTTAGGGTAGATACTAGATACCTTTATTTAGAAATAATCATACAATTATTATTTACAGAGGCTAGGTATAATATTAATTATTAAATGGTTAAATTTAACTGCATTATAACTTAGCAGTCCATAGGATATTTCGTTGGATTACTGAACTTTTATTTTTAACGAGTTTCCTATGACTTAAACATTATAACACGCTAAGTTAATTTCAATCTCTTTTAATTTTAATACAATGATAAATTTACAATCTATACACAAATAGAATACCAGTAATAGGTGCCATCGTATAAATAATAATAGTTTTTATTAATTATTATTTTTTACTTAATGAAGAATGTGGGATATGTGGAGTTCCGAATTTATAATAAGTATAATTTGGTATTCCCGCAGAATAACCCTCCTGCGTATTACTTTAAATTTAATCATTTTTCTTAAAACATTAACAATTGTACAAAAAATTTCCTTTCAATTTAACTTGTAGTAAACCAACAAAAACCAATTAACTTTTAAAATTATAACGTTTTAATTCGTTAACTTTTTTCCAATTAATGTAATGTGTTAATATCACAAATTAATTTTCCCGACCTTAATTGTTTACAAGTATGTATAACACATTATGCACCACATAATTTTAATTTTCAAACTACAACAAATATATTATACTTACATACCTGCATTTATTATATTGCTCATAAATAATGATCCACTATTAAATTTAAAATATCAACTCTAAATGATCGTGCCTAAACTTTCTTAAACAGCATTTTCGAACAAAAATGTAATTAAAAACAAATGACTCGCCCAAACAAGCATGTAATCTGAACTTTTCAATTACAAAAACGCTTTACAGATTAGTATAACAATATACCTATTTACGCTCTTAAAATCCGCTTACTTAAAAAACACATTAAACAATATTTTTAAAACTAAATTGTAAATCTTGTAAGAACCGTTCAGGAAAAGCACGCAGGGTGAAGGTGTAAAAGTATATGTATTCATTTTAAAACTTTGTCACTCAGCGCAGTGTTTTTTTTAAGGATTAACGCGAAGAGTTATCACCTTTTTATTAAACGAACTGCAGTAATGTTTTCTTTATATCTTATTATAATTTTACTTTTTTATTTCCATAAAGAACCGTGCGAATTATATTCCACCGCGGGGTTTTTTTTTTTTATATTTGCATCCAAGCCGAATGAAATGGTCAAATGGTATTTATCTTTTATGGTAGTGTATTTTTATTATTGTCTGTTTACGTATATATAATACCATGTTTGGTATTTTTTTTTTTTTTTCAGAACTACTAAAAAAGTTTTTACGTGACATTAGAAACCGAGTAACAACTATAGTTTAGAAGTTAATTATAATTTAGTACTGTTTTATGATACAAATTTGTTGGTAGGTCCATACTTAAGGAAAATATTTTTTTTAATTCGATGCGATTTTGTTCAACGCTACAATTTATTTAAATCAACAACAATAATTAATGTCAAGTATAAAATATATACGAGCAGGTACATTATTGTTTTTTTGCGGCAATACGTCGGAACAAAAGTGGCCAATCAAATAACGATGGTTACCTAATACTCTCACTAGTTTATCGCGGTGTAGATAATTCGATCGGGTTTACACTATATAAAACGCCAATAAAGGCCCGACTGTTTATACGGACGAGTGTTTATCATTTGCACGGAAACAAAATAAAACGGTCAGGTCGTTCGGAATCGATTATATGCAGTGTTGAGTGTTGAGTGGACGGTACTTGTAGAATAATGAAATGACGCCAATAACTGTGCGCCAATTATTTGGAGAGTGGGGGCTTTAGTGTTGTATTACAGGACGAATAAAATAGTATTAATATTGAGTCAAAAAGCTCAGCGATTGTTCTGCGTTTTTTCAAATCAATTTGATTTTAGTATGTAAATAATATAGTGTTGGCCGGTATACGGCGTTTCGATGGAAAATAATTATAGAACTAAAAATTTGTATCCAAACTTTGTAAATTATTGAACATTAATGTCAATTTAATTAAGTTGATTGGAACGTGGGGAGTAATGTTTACACAGATCCTCTACTGTTTTTGGTTGAACTGTTAAAAAAGAGTTAAATGTTTTATTAATTAACTAAGTTAAGTATATTTAATATTTTTGTTGTAAAACTTTTGTTTATGAAGTGAAAATGATTAAACCTAGCGTTTGTAATTTTTAAAAATAATGTTTATTATTGATTCATGCTAACGTAGGGGAGGGCTTATTCAGAAAATAAAAAATGATATTATTATATATACCGAAAAACTTCATAAATATTAATATTATTGAGTAATAAAATTAATATTCATACGATCGTATTCAAATATAGTGTAAAAATAAATTAAATGTTGTATTAAAATTAAAAACAATAATTCAAGTTAACTAGGTAGTCAGTAAAATTAAAAATAAACTATTTATTTATTAAGTTAATGCAAAAATAAATAAATTATGTTAATAAAAAAATAATCAAAGGTTAAAAGCCAAGTTAAAAATAATAATTAACTTCACTTTTAATAGTTTAGCTGATCAATAATGAGCCTCGGATAATAAATAGTAACATAATACATATTGAGTTATATATATATATACACATATAGTTCTGTTATAATATAAAAAATAATATTTCATTCACTTACAAAAAAGATAAATTTGTAAACGTAAATTTGTAGACGTTTTATATTTACTTTATAGTAGTGTTACTTTTTCAATAAAGATATCCGACTAATCACTGGACGTAAATGAAATACAAAAATGCCATCATGTTTCCGTTCGTAACACGTTCTTATTATATACGTTGAATAAACACAACTAAGTTTTGTGTAAGATATTATTACCTCAAAACTAATTAAAAAACATAAAAAAGACCAACCTCAATTGTATAACGATGTTTTATTTTCTAAAAGAGTTGCCCCGAAAATGCATTGATATGAAAATTTGTTAATCTTTTAATTATTTAAATTTTCCCTCTTCTTCGCGGTTTAATATTAGTATAGTATTATACACAACACGAACCGCGAATTAATATCGAACTTTACTATTACGATTCTAGCTGAAGAGACTTTATTTTTGTGTTAGTGCTCTTCTGTTCCCACAAAGTCTGTACGACAATAATAATACGAATAATAAGATTTATCTAAAATGTTAACCACTAAATATAACTGGTATCCAACTGGGTCAAACGCAAAGCATGTCACAGAATATTATAACAGTTTGTGATATCCTGAGCGTATATTATATTATTTAGTGGAAATCTTCAAAACTATGATGGCCAAAACTAGAAACATATATAATAATATATACGAGTACCTATATTGTATTCTAATGTTTGCAAAGATTATACTGAAGTATAAATATAATGATGTTTACATATAGTGCGAAAATTTAGTCATAAAATCAAATTAATATTTTAAGTAAGAAGTATGAAATACAGTGATTGGAAAAAACGCTTTCATATTGTGTGAACTGGACATGAACGAGTTCAATTGTCAAAAAAATTAACTTGAACGTGAATTGAGTTTTTATTAATTATGAATATGAACGTTTTTGATTCATTAATTGACAAATTCAATTTCATAATAGATCATAGTTATATTTATTTAGAATGTTTAATTTACATAATAACTTAAAAATCGTATAACATGTATCAATATTATCCACAGACATCGTACTAACAAATTATCACAATAAATTTAAAAATGATAATATCTTAACGAAACTGAAATGTATAAATACTTACTAACACTTAAAATAACTATAAAATCGAGGTAAAAATGTGAATTATAAAATGTATAATTCAAAAATTTAGACAGCCCTTAAAACGCAAAAGATTAAGAAGTCAAAGTTGTTTTGAAAAATAAGGAAATCAAAATTTAGTCTCAAAAAGGTGGTTCCTACTGAAGAAAATTGTATTTTACTGTGTATGGATATTTATAATAATTAACAGTAACGATTTTAGAAAGCATACGAATAATTATTGTTAGAAAATACTAACTGAAATATAAAATTAAGATGTTATGGCTTTGTGCAAAGGTAATATCGATTGTTTTCAATTAGTATTAACACTGTATATAATTCAGTTTGATGAATTTGAACTAGTTCATTTTAAAAAGTATAAACTAGAATTTTTAATAGTTCATATTTAATGTCTGGAACTTGAAATCGAACTAACCTTTTGAAAAAGAACTTTCCCATCACTGGTTTAATATGAAAACGTGTTGTGTTATTAATTATATGTTTCAGGTGTCAATTTATTATGGAGATAATATAGCCATATTGTCAACAGCATCTTAATTTCCAACAAAAAACTACATGAGCGCTAACCTGAGCCTGATTCCTAATAATACATTTTATCATGTGGTTTTAAAAATTGTAGGTATTTAATCGTGTTTTATACATTAAAACAATATTTATCAAATAGATAATTAGTACGTACCTTTTTGGTTTTTTTTTGTTAGACTTCTTTATTCACA